ATAAAAATAACATAATATTTAAATAATGAGTACAAAGAATACCAATATATAAAATATGGTAGAGGAAGTATTTGTTGTTTGACTAACTTCATATTGTATTTATAAAAATACAAACTTGAACTCGAAATGCTTTTATTCTGAAAGGGTTAAACTGGCAGTACGCTGGTTTGGATCGGCCAGTTAGCCATAAATGATCCCGCCCACCTTCAAATTAAACCAATAGAATCAAAAATTTGCATCAGTCCCACCAGTCTTCAACTGGACGAAGAAAAATACAGTTAGATTAGTGGTTAGCATTAGCGTCCCCAAAGTTTTTATCTGTTTATTGGTTTAGCGTTAGCGGAGCTACTGTTCTTGTTTAATGGATTAGTGTTTGGTGAAGCTAGGCTTTGGTTGGCTGTGCCCACCACTGGACTCTAACTCCTAAAAATAAACATTTTCCWTAAAGACAGAAATAATCGAAGCATGTTCCTCCAACTTTAACGACAAACATGAACCTTAGATTTGTTTAGCCAGTTGAGAATATCAAATCTCTCCTGAGAGAATTCAACTGGTATGGTTTGTTTGGTATGCTTGTTTGTCTTTGTGTCTATGGTGTATGATGATGTGATTGTGATGCTGTATTTCTGAGTGTTTTATGTGCTGCAGAACAGGAACCTGCTGTAAAACAGCAATTATGGTGAGTCAGGCTTGACTTTTAGTAATCTTTTCCTGTTAAATCAATAAAAAAAACTGTTACAAAATGTAAACAGAGAAACAAACATCTGCAGAATCTGAACTCTTGACTCGTAGATCAGACAGATAAAAGCATTTTTGGGTCAATAAAGGGTAGATGATCCACATAAAACAAGAAAATCTGAATTTGTCTTTTATTTTGAAGTTAACTCTGATGTGTTTGTGTTTGTACATGTTCAAAAGATGATGCAAAAATAACATTTTACATGTCTGACAAAAATAAAATTTCCTCACCCTCGTAAAACTGATAGCATCTCCATCAATCAAGCCTGCACTCAGTGATATTATCAGAGGGTTTGTATATCTAAACATAGCCACATGCATGGGGAAGTCCGTAGACTCACACAGACACACACATACGCACACACACACACGTGAACTTGACTGTGACCTCTGGCTGTATGAACAGTTAAACAATCTTTCCATGTTTTTACCAGAGAGAGGGGTCTCATAAAGACTGTCATTCACTACCTAAGCATAAAATACACACTGCAAACTAAATTACGCATGCAGAAACACACACACACACACAGAGTCCAACACACACACACACAGAGTGGGCCGAGCGCCACGTACCGAGGACAAAGCTGCTGATTCTTGGAGCTTGGCGATAGCGTCATTTTTACACCGTGAGAACACGAGAAACACTTTTCTCAAAGGAGCCCTCTCATTTTCTGAGGGTGTTTGACCATTTTTGGGGGGGGAAAGGGGGAAACTGCAACACACACACCAACACACACACACACACACCAACACACACAGAAGAGTTGAGCAAGGTCTAAGAAAAGCAGACGAAGGCTAATCTGGTCGGGCTGAGTTCTGAGTAGAAAAAGAACGAGTCAGAACAGAAGGGGTCCAACATCTTTGCTCTGTATTTAACCAGACTGAAACCCGTCCCAGTCCGTCCCACCCGGGTATCAGTAGCAGAGAAACGACTGATACCGGGCCAGAAAAGCACTTTATTTATTTAACCAAGTTTTAAAAGGCAGGAAGAAAAACAAACATCATGAGGAGGAGGAGGAGGACGAAGATGTGAGCTCCAGACTTCACACACAGTGTTTAGATTCACTTCTACATCTACAACACCACAAAGTGAGAGAGGAACGTGCAGAAACGTTCAAACGTTTCCTCTCAGAAAGGACAAATCTGAGGAGATGAAGTTTGTCAAGTGGTTGGAGAAAAAAATAGTAAAAACGGGAATGTTGGGTTGCAGCAAACCCACTTTTCCCTTTTTGAGTTTTAGTTGATTATATTGTAAATATAAGATGAGATGAGATTAAGATAAGATACGATACGATACGATGAGATGAGATACGATACGATACGATCCGATACGATACGATACGATAAGATAAGATACGATGCAATAAGATAAGATACGATACGATAAGATACGATAAGATACCATACGATACGATCCGATACGATACTATACAATACGATACGATGAGATAAGATAAGATACGATACGATGCAATAAGATAAGATAAGATACGATAAGATAAGATACGATGCAATAAGATAAGATACGATACGATAAGATACGATAAGATACCATACGATACGATAAGATACGATAAGATAAGATAAGATACGATACAATACGATAAGATACGATAAGATAAGATAAGATACGATACAATACGATAAGATACGATAAGATAAGATAAGATACGATACAATACGATAAAATACGATAAGATACGATTCGATAAGATACAATAAGATATGATAAGATAAGATACGATATGATGCAATAAGATAAGATAAGATAAGATAAGATAAGATAAGATAAGATAAAACTTTATTGATCTCACAGTGGGGAAATTTGCACATTCTAGCAGCTCAAAACAGGACAGGGTGAGATAGAATAAAGAAAGATAAGTAAAAGAAAAACAAAACAAAAAAACACTATACTCGTGACATACTGTATAACAATGTACATATACCTAGTACAGTACATAAATGAATATATATGCAGGTGCATATTAGTGGTGGCAGTGTAGGTGAATTGTCCAAGTGACTGATGACTTCATGATGTGTTATACAGTCTAACTGATGACATCATGATGTGTTATACAGTCTAACTGATGACTTCATGATGTGTTATACAGTCTAACTGATGACATCATGATGTGTTATACAGTCTAACTGATGACTTCATGATGTGTTATACAGTCTAACTGATGACATCATGATGTGTTATACAGTCTAACTGATGACTTCATGATGTGTTATACAGTCTAACTGATGACATCATGATGTGTTATACAGTCTAACTGATGACTTCATGATGTGTTATACAGTCTAACTGATGACATCATGATGTGTTATACAGTCTAACTGATGACTTCATGATGTGTTATACAGTCTAACTGATGACATCATGATGTGTTATACAGTCTAACTGATGACTTCATGATGTGTTATACAGTCTAACTGATGACATCATGATGTGTT